GGAGGGGGAGGGGCAAAAAAAGGAAAATGAGCTGATTCTGGGAACCCAAGAGGAAAGCGAACTTTGGGAATAATGAGGGCAACAAATGTATAGATGTGCTTTACACGATTGATCTATGTATTGTGATGAATTGTATGAGCCCCAATAAATAGATTTTAAAAAAAAGATGAGCCTTTATCCTCCTGCAAAAAGTTATGACTTCAGAAACCCAATGGGCAGTATTTTAGAGTTGCTATGATCAGAACTGACCTAAAGACAATGAATTTGAGTGCAATAATCAATTAGATTTTCCTAAAACAAAAAAGACAGTAAAAACCTATCTTTAATAGTAGTACCCAAAAACCCTGAGGCATCTAGGAAGGAATCTAACAAAAATGTTCAAACTCTTTAGGGAGAATATTTTATTTTATAAGTTTATTGAAAAACATTAGAAAATACTCCAATGAAGAGATATGCTCTGGTCTTGGTGTAGTGACTAAATTAATTAAATATGTTCAATTTCTCCAAAATCTATAAAATTCAATGTAATTTAGCTCAAAAATCCCCATAACTAGTTATTTTCTTATTTTTTCCATTGAAATTTGAGATACTGAATATCTGATGTTCATGACAAACCTGAGGCCATCATGCCCTGCGCTCCACAAGAAGGAGAACTCATATTCAGAAGAGGTGGGCCTTCCTAGCAAATGAGCTGATGCATCCTCCCAAGTGGAAGAGGTGCCCAATTACCAATTGACCATCTAGTGGATGGTTGGTCTCTTTAAGGGATGGTTCTGTACTGGGGACTGAGGCATTGTTCTCTGTACTTGTCAGGTAAATATTCAAGAGCAGGCATGAGTTACGCAGCATGTTCAAAGTTAAATCACTGTTATACCGAAAATATTTTTTGCAGTGATATTGTGGACAAAAGTAATGTGTTAGTGAATAATCCTACAGCTGCCCATAAGTGTTAACCGAATTAAAGAGAAATAACCACAACTCTTACACACACACACACACACTCCCATCTATGGAGTTGGATCTGAACCACCAACTTATGTATGACAAGAAAATATTGCTCAGTCCAT